CAGTTTGTAATGTCCAACCTGCAGTTAGTGATGAAGGACTGGAGCTCCAGAAAGATACTAGAATTGTCTATATATAGATCTGGGAGTAATCTACATAGAAATTATAACTAAATGCATGGGAGCTGATATGGTCACCAAGAGAACAAATATAGCAAGAGACTAAAAGTCTTCTCATTACTTTGACTTTACCCTTTAGTATGTTATTTTTAAACTTGTCTTTTTCCAGTAGTAAAATATGGTTGTATGCAAATTCTAAAGGCAACAGAGTCTTAGGGGACTGAGTCCCTCTCCCCACCTTGCCACACACACAGTTAAGTGGAATGGTGTAAATAATGTTGTAGGAAAAGATATTGAGTAGTCAGATAGGTGGGACAGAACCAAGTGAGAGTGGTGTCATAAAAATCCAGAGAGGAGAGTGTAATTGAAAAGAGTGGCCCTGTTGAATGTCGAGAAGAACAAGGATTTGGAAAGGCCATTAGACCAGATAACTAAGAGATCAGTGGCAACTTTGCAGAGGACAATTTTAGTTCAGAGTGCAGGTTAGAAGCCAGGTTCCAAAGGGCTGAGAAATGAATGACAGGAGAGCAAGTGGAGGAGATGAGAGAAGGTATCTTGTTCTGGTTGTTTGTCTGTGAAAGGTAGGGTGTATCTTTCTATCCATCTATCTATCATCTCTATTTTTCAGCAGTCATCTATATCATCTATCATCCGTATTATCTACCACCTATATTATCTATTATCTATGTTCTCTACCGTCGATATTATCTAGCAATCATCTTTATCATCTATTATCTATCATCTATATTATCTATCTCATCTATCTGTTATCTAACTAAGATCATGCTAATTTCAGGGGACAGAGGTCAAGTCACACTGAAGCTAAAATGCTAAAACATTTTCACATTTTAGTTCATCTCCACTACCTGGCTGGTAGGTCACATGGGCCAGCTCTGCCCACTCTCTAACTCTGGTCATAAGCTTCAGATAATGAATTCTGATGTTCCAACTAGAATTTGTTAAATAATGGTTTATCTCCTTAGTTACTTGACATCTAGCTTTTATCCCAGATATAAAATCACAGCATCTCAGAGTGAGGCAGGAGTCATTCAATGCAATCCTTGTCTGAGAAAGAATTCCCTTTTACAATAGGAGATTTCAATTAAATGCAACCAACATCTATTAAAAGTATATGCTATGGGCAAGGAACTGAGGAGTACTAGGGTTTGATAAATGAAATATCAATTCATCTGCTGTCTACCTATAATGATCCACTACTTCAGTTCATTTCTTCTCCCCTTTAACTGTATTGTAATAATAGTAACAATAATAATAAACATTTATATGATGCTTTAATTATTTCAATGTGATATATGTGTGTGTGTGTGTGTGTGTGTGTGTGTGTGTGTGTGTGTGTGTGTGTATTACCTCATTTCATTCCTACAACTCACTGAGTGAGAGGTAGTCACAAACTGAGTGACTAAAAGATAGGGAATGGACCAATAATTTCATTGGTATGCAGCAAAGCCCCAGGTGCAGAAACTCCCTCTACCAATGAAGGTCAGCACCTCTTATGCAATGTACACTTCTACAAAGTTACCTATAGCATTAAGAGGTTAAGTGACTTTCCTATAATCACACAATCAGTATATGTCTGTCGTGGGATGTGAACCTTTGAGACCAGTTCTCTTTCCAGGATCCCAAATTGCCTCAGGTAGGTATGTGTTATGATAGGTATTATTATCCCCATTTTATAGATCAGAAAAGTGAACCTGAGAGAGGTGAAGAGGCTAACAGCCATATTGCTAATAAGCATCCAGGGCTGTATTTAAACCAAGGTCTCTTCTGAATCCAAGTCCAACATCTTTGCTGCTATAGAATACTGCATATAACTCATATTTTAAAGTATAACTAAATATAATTCAACAAATATTTTAATGCCTACTATACACCAGGCACTTTGATAGATAGGTGCTAGGGTATTCAAAGACAAAAGCAAAAACAAAAATCTCTGTAGTAAAGAAGCTTACATTCTACTGAAGAGACAGACACAAGTCCATAATCAATCAACAAACAGTACAAGGATAAGTAAATGCAAAAGATATTTATTACATAGATAAGTAAATACATAATAAATATAAGATAATTCAATCTTCCCACCATGATGGCTGTTCCTTTCCAACAGCTAGCCCAACGCAGCTATCTGGCCAACCTATTGCTACCCTGAGGAAATAGTGTAACCTGCAGAAAGAGTATTACATTGGGAGCCAGAGAACCTGGGTCCAAAACCAGCCTTGGGCACTTACTATGTGACCTTGACAACTCATTTAACCTCTTTCTGCATTGGTTTCCTCATATGTAAAAGGGGGATAAAAATGGAAATCTGCTTCCCAGAGTTGTTGTGAGGGAAATTGAGCTAATATTTGTAAAGCACTTTGCAAACTTTAAAATACTAGCAATTATTATTGTTGTTGTTATTATTACAAGTATAATTAACCATCTTGAACCTTAGTTTCATCATCTATAAAATGAGGAGATTCAACTAGATCAGTGGTTCTTAACCTTCAGTCCATAATTTGGGTTTAAAAAAACATTTTGATGACTGAATTTCAATATAATAGTCTTCCTTTGTATTCCTGTGTATTATTATACATTTTTTAAAACATCATTCTAACAAAGGCCCCATAAGCTTCACCAGACTGCCAAAGGGATCCATGACCCCAAAAAAGTTATAGTAGATAATCTCTAAAGTCCCTTTCAATTTGAACATCCTATGATTCTGTAATCCTTCTGGGGAAACCTGAGAACTCTCAGAAATTTAGTAATGTTTTGATTAAGGCCAACATAGGTCAAGACACATCGGTCCACCCATGGCTCAGGTAGGATTCATTTGCATCTCAGAGGAAATTGGAGACTTTTATTCTTCATCTCAGCATCTTGCTAATTCTCAGGGAAAGCCTTCTTAGGTCATTTGTTCACATCTGGCCTCCAGGAATGGAGGATGGAGAAGTGGTAAGGGCAGTCTTTTGGCACATTATCCCTATGGCTTTCTACCAGTCAGCACAGTAATGTCCTAATTATTTCCCAAGGTCTTCTGTGTGTGGCAGATTTCAAGTCACCCTATTATGCTGTAGTAAAAATCACATTCAAGATATGGTGACATTTTTACTGTCTTGAAAGTATAAGCTTAAGGTTTATTTTCTGCAATTCTCAGCGAGTGTTTCAGCACAGTGATTCTTGCAACATCTTTTCCCAGTTTTATTAACAACATGTTTATGTCCATCACATTATTGCCTGATGAAAGTAAGACTTGCCAGTGGGCATGTGAAAAACTCAATGGGAACCAGTTAGAAGGGTGATATTGTAACTGATATAAAATTCCAGGTTTGTCTCTTCTGTTCATGAACTTAAGCTATATAGCACACATGATGCATGTCTCAAAATATTCTGAGAAAAAACATATATGTGTAGCAACTCAGTTTTCAAAATTAGGAATCTCTTACACAGAGCTTCCTTCAATACAGGAACCTTTTATAGGGTGTCCCAAAGTCTTAAGTTTGTAAGCAGTTTTATAGCTTAAAACTGCACTAAGACTTTGAGACACCTTGCATAAGGTTCCTTTACATTCAGAACCAAAATTTGGTTCTTCTGCCTTGACCCATTAAGCCCTCATTTTGGAATTTGAAGGTTGGTTGGGAGTAGTAAAAATTGCTGTCTTGCTGTATAAAGATTATGCTACTGACCCCAAAACAGAAGGAATATGTTCTGAGTTGTATTTATACTGGTATGGATGAGTTTCATCAGATGACATAGATAAGAGTGATAGTGATACCTGACTAGAAGGAAAAGATGGGTTGTAATCCATACTATGGGAAGAAGTAGCCACATTGATGAGATCATGAAATTGATTCATGAAATATTGAAGCATAATGATGGATTTTCATCATTAAAACTGCACTTTCGGGTCAGCGAGGTGGTGCAGTGCATAGAGAACCGGCCCTGCAATCTGGGGGACCTGAGTTCAAATCTGGCCTCAGACACTTGACACTTACTAGCTGTGTGACCCTGGGCTAGTCACTTAATCCCATTGCCTAGCCAAAAACAAAAACAAAAAACAAAAAACTGCACTTTCATTCTTCTTTATAGACTGGAAGTTTTCCTAGGTTCTCAGCACTTTCCCAGTGGAATAAGCTCATGGAGGTCCTAACAAGATGGTGTGATAGATATGTGCTGACAGCCAAGAACTTATTTCCCCTTGATGCCAGGGGAGTGAGGCACACACTCAATGAGGGAAGAGGGGGAGAGAAGCCTCCTGCAGTAATAGAAGTGGTTTCCAGGAGTAAAGGTATCAATTTAGAAATGCAAAACTGATTGATCAAGTCAAAGAGACTGCCAGCCAAGTGGTAAGAAGCACCTCAGTGCAACTAAGCATGAAAAATGAGACATTCTGGAATGGCTGTGCAGAGTGCAGATACTGCAAAACTAGGAGCTGAGACTGATGCAGTCGAGTGGATGCTAGAACAAGCAATACCATGAGATGGGAAGCACACAATGAAACAGGAGGCAGATTTTAACTTCACCAAACTTCTCAACTCTAATTAAGCTATAGAAAACTCCCTTACTGGTGTTGCAAGTTCAAATTATGTTGGTATAGGGACAGATCTTCCCCTTAGTAGAGAGGAAATGTCCCTGCACCCTTGCTACCCAAGATCAGAGGCAATTCCAATTGTTTTATATATTTTGTAATAAAAGTGGTTTTATAGACAAATATTCATTAGGAACTTATTGCTTAGAAAGGGACAGAGAACGCAGTAATGTATATCCTAAAAGAGGGTTAGTAAATAGACAAATTCAGCTATTCCTGAAGGGTAATTTGGATGGCAACAAACATGAACCATGCTAATATAGACTAGAGAGAAGTCCTCCCAAATAGAATCCAATGTTTATATTCTCAATATATGGATTACATTCTAAAAACTTCATATTCTATGTCCATTATCCAGGGTTCATGATAAATAAATTTGGAAAGATTCAGCATTAGAAGAAAACCCACCAGGTGGAAGAATATTTTCAAGCCTCAAACAACTCATGAAATCTCTCTACTAAGCTGTAGAAGGCTCTGATCTATACAGATGGAGGAGTCCCAACATGAAAATATTTCAGTGTAAGTAATAACAAGTTTGTGATGAAGAGATAGCATTCTCTCATGTCTCCTGTTTAATCAGCAGCACACATCTAGGAAACAGATGGTTTGGATGTAATGTGAGGCCATGCTATAAAGTGATGGTAGCTGATACATAAGAGAATGAACTCACTATTTTGACCCCTTTAGTACTATGCTCTAACCAACTGTACTAAGTAGTCACTCGTCCTGTTTAAATAATAAGTGGACATTTACACACATTCTTATTTGCTCATTCTTAACCTTCTATTGAATGTCATGAATCCCTTTGGCAGTTTGGTGAAGCATATATACCCTTTCTCAGTATGTTTCTAAATGCATGCTATAAAATGCATAGGATTAAAAAGGAAACCAATTTTGTTTAAATACAGTTTTTTTTTAAAAAAGTTTTTAAGTTCATGAATCTCAGGTTAAGAATCTCTGCTGAATGGTTAACACTTGAGTGAACATGGAAGTTGCCCAAGTGTATTTGACAGGTCTTTGGTTGATGACACTAGCAAAGATCAATGTATGTTATCCCTGATTTGCATAATAAAAGGTTTATATCCATGCTGGGATGTCAGAGTTCCAATGACTGTCATGAGACCAAAAACATTGTGCCAATATTGATGCCAGAATTCAGTCAGTTTGCTAATTCCCCAGTAGGACAAGATTCTTCAAGGATAATGGCTACTAGCCTGTGAGTTTCTCATATACTGCCTTGTTCAGCATCCCAGATGTGTTGCCAAACAGATTGAAATGTTAGTTACTGGTGCCGATTGTGACCATGTCTCTGTAAAGTTAACTCATAACCCATTGTGATAATAAGGTTCTGAGTGACCACTTTCTAGACTTCATCAAAAAGCACCCCTCCTCCACTGGCTCCAAGGGGAGTTTTTGATTTTCTAACTGCCTCTTTCAAATTAAAGATCAGTTAACTAGTATCTTATTTCTATATCTGGGTAACCCCAGAAAGTCTTACCCTGGCACTTCATCACAGTGGAGAAGTGACCCTGAAATCTTTAAGGGTGTTCCAGTGGAGTCATACTATGGCAGAGTTTAATATAAAGGTTTCAAGTATGGTTCCAGAAGTAGAACTGTGTCTACTATCCAGAGTCTAGGTGATTTAGGTCAATCATTACCAGTACACTGATGGTTTTATAATGTATTATTTGACTTTTTTATACTTGATGCATCTGGAGTCCAATATAAACTGCTTTGTTTGGCTTTTAAAGATCTTCACAACGTGGCTTCTTCCAAACTTTCTCATTTTCTTAGATTTTCATGTCCTCCATCTTCTCTAAGTTTCAGCAACCCTGGCCCACTGGTGGTTATTCAGACACAGCACTCCACATCCCATTTCTGTATCTTAATGCAAGCTATATCCCACACTTGGAACACTCCAACCCTTCACCTCGGCTTCTTGGTTTCTATGACTTGTTTTAAATTAACTCAAATCCTACCTGCTTCAGGAGGACTTTCCAAGCTCCCCTACACCAACATCCTCAGCTGTTAATGACTTCCCCTCCCTGAGTATCTTCCTCATACTTTGTATGTACCTTGTATCTACCTAGTGATTTACATGCTGTCTACAACATTGTATTGTGAACTCCTTGAGTGTAGGAATTCTCTTTTTGTCTTTCTTTGTATCCTCAGCTCTCAGCATAGTGCTTGGAACATAGACATTATTTAATAAATGCTTGTTGGCTTTAATTGACATTAACAATCAGTGGGAAAAAAAGGAAAAATGCAAAATGACCCATAGTCTTCCACATTTGTAGTGGTGGTGGCATTGTAGTAGAAAATGGTACAGAGCATGGTAAGAATTAAAGGTTTTAGCCTATCTATAATTATTAATTTGTCTATTGCTACTCTAACTGTGAGACCCATGTCCAATGACTAAGAAGTGGACAAACTAGATGATGAACTGAATCAAATCAATCTTGACATTCTCACTAAGGAAGTTAAAACTAAAAAGGAGTGGCTTACAGCTTCTCCTTGGAGAAATAAACAAAGTAGTCATTTTATCACATGTCCAAAGGAAACAAAGAAACATCATTTCATGAGTTGTTTCATATTGCCAAGCTCATAATAAGTGTTTGCAAAAAGATCACCAGTAATATAATTGAAGTTCGTGTACCTATATCAGTGGCAGAAGATGAAAATGTAAAGAAATTCTACAAATAACTCACTAAGATCTTCCTAATTAAATCAACTTATACTTTAACACTGTGGCTTCAATGAAAAAGTGGGTAAAGGTAAGGACAGAGAAAAAATATGTTAGAAAATATGGTTCAAGAGCAAGAAACAAGATCATCCAAAGACTCAGATTTATACATCATGAATATTTTCTTTGAGTAAAGACTTGAAAAACACTATTGCCCCAAAATGCCCCCCCAAAATGAAATCAATTCTATTTTGACAAGAAATATAACTCATTACTGCTGTGATAGTAATTCATAAAACAGCTTTCTGTCTATAGTCTTGTTAAAGCAAAGATAAAAATTAGTACAAAGCTAGAAGAAAGAATAAAAATGAGAAAAGAATTGGAGAAAAGAAAAAAGGCATGCAATTAAAAAACCTTCCAACATGATCTACTTAAACAAGCTATTGATTACCAAAAAATGGGACTGCATGGAGGAAAGGTCATCAACACTAGTTTCAACCATTTCATATAGAAGTTTAACTGGTGCAAATCAATTGACATAATGAATGAGGAGACTAAAAGAGCCTAGAAACTACCATAGAAAACATTAGTCTTACTTGAAGAGCAAGAGAGATATGACAGCCAAGGGCAAGACCAGTTAAGATTATAAAGCCATTTGTAAATTTTATAGAGAAGTATGGTGGAGCATAAACAGTGAGAAGCAGTAAAGGAAAAAACTATTTAAAGAAAGCTGGGTGGCATCAGTTGGGAAATGGCCAAAAAAAGTTTTTGATCCATAAATGAGATAGAATATTACTGAGTTGTAAGAAATGATGAATATCATCAATATAGAGAATCATGGAATGAATTACTCAGAACTGATACAAAATGAAATAAGCAGAGCCAAGAAAACAACATGCACAATGAGTTCAACAATGTAAATGGAAAGAACAACCACAAAACAATTGAAAATAAGTGATAGAAAAGTACAAAGACAAGCTTTCCCCAAAGAAAAGACCCCATTCTTGTGCAGAGGGTCATGTATTGTCATATTTTTTTTCAATGTATGGATCAATTTTGCATATTTTTTTCTCTTCTTTCTCTTTTTTTCATTAAAAATTATATGTTATATCTGATGGTTCTCTAAAAATGGGAAAGGGAATGATATGGGGGAAATTTAGGTGAAAACAAAAGATATAATCAAAATTTATTTAAACCAAAAAAATGTTGAATAAGAGATCCAGTTAAGCAAAGTCATCTTGATGGCATTTAAGAATGAAACTGGAATGACTAGATGTGCATCATACAATGGAAGTACAAAAGATATGCATAGATTTTTGTAACTGATCATTCCATATGCTTTTATTAAATGCTACCCACTGTGCTGGTAACTGGGGACACAAAGCAAAAGGGAAAACTGTGCTCAAGGAGCTTATATTCTACTATGGCAGGGTGGGGAAGAATGAGTCAGTAGAGTAATGCAATATGCATGAAGATAAATATAAACTAGATATATACAAAATAATTTCGAGGAGGACATACACAACTGGAGGGGATCAGGAAAGGTCCCTTGAAGGAAAGTGGCACTTGAACAGAGCCTTGAAAAAAATAATAGATTCCAGTAGGTAGAGTTGAGGATAGAGTGCATTCCAGACATAATGGTCAGACTAGGCAAAGATGAGAGATAGAATGTCATGTAGAGGGGCTGGTAAATAGACCATTAAGGACAACTGAGCCACGATTATTTGACTGTAATTCATATCACTAGAGGTATTTTTCTTTCCTCTTCTTTTCTTTCTTTTCTTTTCTTTTCTTTTCTTTTCTTTTCTTTTCTTTTCTTTTCTTTTCTTTTCTTTCCTTTCCTTTCCTTTCCTTTCCTTTTGTTTTTCTTTCCTTTCCTTTCCTTTCCTTTCCTTTCCTTTCCTTTCCTTTCCTTTCCTTTCCTTTCCTTTCCTTTCCTTTCCTTTCCTTTCCTTTCCTTTCCTTTCCTTTCCTTTCCTTTCCTTTCCTTTCCTTTCCTTTCCTTTCCTTTTCTTTTCCTTTTTTTTTTGCAAAGCAATTAGGGTTAAGTGACTTGCCCAGAGTCACACAGCTAGTATTATGTGTCTGTCTCCTGACTCCAGGGCCAGTGCTCCATCCACTGCACCACCTAGCTGCCTCTACTAGAGGTATTTCTAGAGCAAGAGTTCTTAACCTGGGGTCCATAAATTCAGAATTTTTTTTTAAAAAAATCATAACTACTTCAAAATAATTAGTTCCTCTGTAATCTTATTTTCTTTTATATTCTAAAACATTCTAAGAAGCTATCCTTCGGCTTCACCAGGCTGCTAAAAGGAATAAATGACAATAAAAAAGGATAGGAATCAATGTTCTAGATAGAGGATGTGGAAATGATTCTGAGTGGTACAAAAGTGATTTTTTTAAAAAAGCTACTGGACTACACCAAGTATACACAGAAGAGATCTGTTCTGGAGGTGACATAATGATGATAACATTAAGAGACCAGTTATCAAGATATCTTCAGGAAGAGAAGATATCAAAGGCATTGAAAAAATTTGAAAACCAAAAGACTATCAATTGCTCTTGACTCATATGTCCACTTTCCCATATATATAAAATTCTGAGAGTAGTATATAAATACATATACATATTAAGACTATCTTTGATAACGATGTGAGAAGGAAATGGGCAGGCTTTCATGAGCAGTATTCTAAAATAAACCACATTTTAACCATTATGCAAGGGACTGAAATATGTAGACAATATAAGATAATGATTAGTTTACTTTGGGCTGACTATTAAAAAAAAAACCCAACTGGTTCACTGATGCAAAATGCCACCTCAATGACTCCACTGA